GTAAGAATGTTAACACTGTTATATTCTTTTTTTAGTTTAATATGTGTGTGTGTAGAAGTGAATCATTTATTGCTTGCAAACCAATGATGGTAAGATGATGTCATGGGGTAGGACTGGATAAGTCTGACTTCTTCCTACTCCATTCAAGCATGTACTAGGTATAAGCAAATTGATATTGGATTGTGTGTAAAAATGTGTGTTGTTATATCAACTGTTTTATATGCTTGAAAGAATAAATCAATCAAATCAAATCAAACATAAAGTTTTGTGTTGACTGGACAAACTCTGATTTCACTGTCATGAACCTGCAGATAGTCCAGGAACATGTGAGTTTCTCTGCCTGGATCATCAGCCTACTTGGTATAGACATTGGTGGGGACCAACCCTAGAAGTAATTAAAATTTGTCTGATAAAGGTCCACGGTCAATGTCACAAAAAAAAGATCACAAAAATCCCATCTTCAACATGGGCAAAATTTAAAAATTCATATGCCCATCAAAAGTTATTGATATCATTTGAAATTTGACACACATATGTAGGGTGGTAATGTCTGTCACCAGACTGGATTTCATCCAGATCTGATCCAGATTCCCGATCTGAATACCCAGTTTAATGCATATTTTCTGCTATAACTGGGCCTATAATGAAGACAGAACCCTGAAATGAACCATAATCTGTGAGAGGTAAAGAACACCATTGCACTAAATAGTGATTGAAATGGTTAGTAATGGTAAAATTAACCCAGGAACATCACTGCTGTTCCTGAGAAATGAATATAACAGGTGGTTTAAAATACTGTAACATCTAGACCTTACAGTAAAGTCCCCCGAGATGATCGCTGTTGTCAATAGGCGCTATACACATAAAATTGAAATGAATTTAGAGTAACTGATTTGAATTGAAAATTTCTAACTAAGCCAAAATTGGTATGTCAATTAAATATGACTTTTTAAAAAGATTTACAAACGTAGAACAAACGACAGTGAGAGGTAGACATCTGGTGTTAAGACTACTGCCAGCATGGACAACAAGCTTGAGAGAAATCAAAATATTAACAAACACTGAAAAGGCTGTACCTGCTGCAAAGCACTGCGACTCACACACTTTATGAGGAGTCAATTACATATGCTCCCTGCTGGATTATGTTAACACAATAAACTGGTTTGTACTTGACATGGCATGTGTAGTGTAGAGAGCACAGGCTCGTCTGGATGGAGTGGTGGAGCAAAGTGTTGATGGACAGAAGTGACATATCACTGCTGGTGACAAGTGTGTGACGCATGTAGGATGACTTTATCTTTTCCACTGTGCTCACACACCAGACAGAGGTGGATGAAACACAGGTTCACTTGCCTGCTGAGACTAGACTGTTGTTGAGTTGTTTAGTCAAAGCCAAATGTTGTGCGCACTTTAGCAGAAATATTTAGTGAACATCAGCTGACTCATTTTACCGCTAGTATACACCACTGGAAAACAGCTGTGTAAACATTTTTGAACAACAACGAAGGTCTATGGCACAGAGGACAAGCTGGTTGGAGACTGACAGGGAGGCTATTCGTCGTTGGTTTAGTCTCTGTATGGAAATGTGTAAGAATACTATTAATATAGAAAAAAGACCAGCCTTATCCTTTAAGGAGATATTGGAAAAAAGCACCAAAAAGGTGAAGAGCTGACTGGGCAGGTGCTTCAAATGCTTTGATTCAATATCAACAGTAACTCTACAGTGGACACCGACCTTCCTATGTGGAATCTCACCCGTCATATGTAAATTGTGTACATTTTTGTTAGATATAATTTGCTAAATAAAACATTTTTTAAAACGTCACTCCTTTATTGTTGTTAATTACTGTAGAGAATTATAAGTAGCATGTCAGTGAGTATGCAAACAGCTGTAGTGAGATTTGACTGGTCTCATCATGCCTCCTATCAACAGCTACTTCAGGACTTCATGCTACTCTCCAGTACACTTGAGATGGAAATACTGCCATTTGTAAACTTTACTGGATCTGACCAGTCAGTCATTTGCATAATGAGTTTATTAACCTTAGTAACTATCAACTTCCACACTCACGGATTACCTTAGGAATGGCACATCTCTGTAGTAACTCTAAAACATTACAAACACTCAACACCATGAACCGAGCCTCCCTGCTAGTACAACTCATTGTCTGCCCCTGACCACAACATAATGGGCTACTTCCTGCCCAAGGCAGGACTTTAAAGATTTGATTATCAATGCAAATTTATTACTGGCCCACATGTAGCGCTCTCACGTGCCATGTGGATAGCCCGGCGTCATTTCCTGATCACTGCACAGACCCAGCTACTGCGTTTGCACACAGCCACATGCTTACTCTTGGTCACAAGTCCAGATAAAATGGGAGGGTTGTGTCAGGAACAGCATCTGGCATAAAAACCTGTGTTAAACTTTTACATAGAGCAATAACTAATTATCAAACTTCCCAGTGGAACTGCACTGACTTATTTTATACCATTTTGTTGTCTATGATTTCAACCAAATTGAAATTTAAATATAGCCATGTTAATGGAACACTAATTTACTTTCACTGGAATACTGGGCACTGATAAGCTCATGTAACATTGTATAATCTAAAATGTAATCTAAGCAAAGGCAGAAAATGAATCTAACAACTAATGTTTCTAGGAAAAAGAATTTTATCAATCTTAAGATTACTATACATGCAGAACATGAACATGCTCAGATAGACAATCTAATCGAACCAGTAACAATCTAATTTAAGACAAGCGAATTGTTTGTGGTATGATGTGTTTGGTAGCACAATGTCCAGGATGTACTGCTTCCCCACGACTGATGGGAACCACCAGCCGAGAGTGTCCTGTCACTAAACATTCCCAGACCGTTTGTCAAACCTTAAGCTAAGGTTCTTGGTGCTGCAAAATGAGAATGGCAGTCCCACTCATGTTGCCACTTTTTATGACTTTTCAAAAGTCACGATTACTTTCCACATTAGGCAACAAATTATTCAGTCTCTAAATAGCCAGAAACCCCTAACTTCCTAAAGCCCAATATGATGCACGTGTGCCCATCATAGGTGCGCTTCAGTACTTCGGTAAGTAGCACGACACCTCTGATGATACAATAGTGAAGAAGACAGAGCTCAGCTCCAGCACCATTAGGACGTCAGGAGTCCATTTCCAGTGGGCTCCGGCCCAATTTAACCCCCGCATGTAACACAGGTGCACATATTACCTGTGTGTATGATGGTGTGGTCTTTCCCTTCTTCTTGATGAAGAATACTTTCCACAGCTGTTGCCACAGGAAAGTGGCTACCAGACACACACTCCATAATATCCAGATATCCTTGTTCCTTAGGACATTCTCCATGATGGAAGCCTTCCTCTTCCTGTCCCTGTTGTCTGACCTGCACAAGCAGCCTGTGTTATCTCGGTCTCCTTGCCGCCTGTGGTGAAGGAGTCTCAGGTGGTAGGCACCAAGTTGCTGACATGTGGCTTTTGATTATGAAATAGTCAGGCTCCTATAGCTGTGCATTGAATGCTGGATCTCATGCTCACTAGACCCTAACACAAACAGGAACTCTCTGCTGTGAAGCCACCCACTTGCCTACCCAGCCACCCATTCATCCAGCACCCAGCTTCCTCCTCACGTCCCACCCTGGGGCCCAAAAGGAGGGAACATGCCATCTCGGAGATGAGGAGGGGGCAGGTGGTGTTGGGTTCAGGGTGTCATTTCTCTACACAGAATCAGATGGCTACTGCCGCTGCTGGCATGTTAGTAAGACCCCTGTGGTATCCTTTAACTTCAGACACAGCACTTCATGCATGAATACTCTGAAGTACAGTTACAAGAAAAAGTAATGGTACTGTTTATAATTTCCCAGTTTTCTGCATAAGTTGGTCATGAAATTTGATCTGATCTTCACCAAAGTCACAAAAAGTTCAACCTTTTTTGTGGCTGCACAGGTGAAAACAAAACATGTTCAATGGACTACAATGTGCACTCTGTGTGAGAGAGAGAGCAAGAAGTTACAGTTTGATGTTCATCATTAAAAAATACAAAGAGTCTTATGTACGGCGTGTGCAGTAAACATCCACTCCATCAGCCCTGTCAGCATTTTGTGTGAGAGACAACTGCCTGTCTGGATGAAGCTGATGGTTTATTAGGGCAGTGGATTGTGACCACTGCAGTCAGGCAGGTCAGATCCCTCCCATATCCTGTTCTTTCTGATGGGTTCTATCCATTCACAACCTCAGGGAAACATGAAGTTAACACTTCTAGTTAACATCGTCTCTTGATGCTGCAGTAAATGGCATTAACAGTAGCTCCTCTAAGCAGAGACCCTGCATTCATTTTCTACATAAGCAGAGTAAACTGGGCTAGGGCTGCCATCTTGTGGCAGCTACACAGGTGTGCGCCCTTGAGCAAGTGCCAAACATCCATTTTAGTCTGTGGTTCTGTGTGTGATGAACAGTGACTCTACCAAGTTCAAACTGGCAATTAAAAACAACTTTTAGAAAATCAGCTGAGCTTGTTGTCTTTCACTTGTCAGGACATGCTGTGCCTCAAACAGTGTCTGCTGTTGGTTATTTCAGTTCCCTTATTGCTCCCCTCTGCACAGACCGCTGTGCCAATCAGGGGGCACAATATTGACACAACAACACAAGGGCACATTCTCGAACAGTCTCGCTCACCAAAAGGCTGCCTGTATGGTGGACTGCTGAATATTTGACAGCCTCTCAGGTAACCACTGTTTCAATGTTTTGGTACAGTACTGAAATGAACTTTGCACTGGCATACTCTGGAACATGGTCAGGTTTTAGTCAACTACCACTAATGGTTTTTCTAGTGTATCTGTTTGTAAGAACTTATACAGGTGTCCTTGAGTACAAATATAAAGAAGGAAGGTTAAAAGGAAGGAGGGGATGGCAGAGAACAGCTTTTCCCCAGGAATTAGTGACTTTTTAATTAACCCAGGAAACAATAAGGTCATGTGTGTTACCTTCTGGTCTCCTTCCTCCATCTCTGCACGTTTGAGCTCCCAGAAGCTGCGCATAGTCTCCACCTTCTCCAGGTGCTGGTAGAAGGTCAGTCGACCGAGGCGAAGGCTATTGCTGCGGTTGCGGATCGCCTTCAGTCCCTCCATCTTCTCTACCATGGGGGACATGGGTATAGGTGGTGGAACTGCTGGTGGCAATGGTTTTCCACTCTTCTTGTCTGAACCAGAATCATTACACAGAATTTTCTTGTCTGACCTGGAATTACAATAATCATCCATGAGGCTTTATCCTTCAAAATATTTTATAACATTCACCATAAATTCATCAACACAACAGCCGTGCAACATGGATCAAACTGGTGAAATGATTAAACAAAAGAATTAGTTTCTCCACAGAAATAGGCCGGTGACAATTGATTACACTTTTACATCATTTGTGGTGCAAAATGGTTAAAGAAAATATTGGTTCCAAGTAAGTTTTTCTTCAGATTTACATCTTTATTAAATCATATATCTCTGGATTTTGGTTGATCAGGCAATTTGCAGGCATTGCTTTTAGCCTTGGGCATCTGGGAAATTGTGATGGACATGTTTCAGTATTTTCTGTTTAAACTATATGCTGATTAGTTTGTGAAAGTTAAGTCTTAAATGAAATAATGTTGCAGCCCTGCTAAAATCTTTCATCAGGGTATATATGAGTACATATACTGTATTTTGTATCAGAATGACAACCAAAACAAAGCCAAACATCACATTGTTTTGTTGCTGCCTTTCTCTGTCTCATACATAAACAAACTTAATGCCTTGCAAACTGAACATTGCTTTCACTTGTCTTATGCAAGAGTGATATTAAAGGGATTGCTTGTTTAATTTATTGCCCAGCTCTAATCTACAGTGTTGAAATAACAGTGCACTGCATGTGCTTTGATCCAGCCCTCCAGCAAGAAGCAGCAGCTCAGATCTAAACATGATGACTGATGATGTGGTGGAGAAATCCGCCCTGACGCCCGCTGACGACAGCTGCCTCTCTGCTGCCTCTCTGCTGCGCTGTACCTGTTGAGCCTCTGAGGCTGTCATGGAAGATCACGGGGGATATTTATACCTCGGCAGCATAAATGTCCAGCATTTGCTTGACAATTACTGAGGTCAGAGGGGGGCTGTAGTTTCAGCACAGTGCATGCACCTCTGATGATGCCAGGGCTGTTCGTCAGCATCAGAGTAGGATTTCAACTCCAGTGCTAAACCCAAAACAGTGGCCAAGGATGCACCTGTCACTGCTCCTTACCTTGGACCCTTTACATTTGCCAATTTTTACATATTTTTCCCCAGCCAGCACAACTTCAAATTATATAAATGGTTTTTATTTTTACATTTCTTTTCCTCTAGGTGAGAAATAATGGGTTTGCTCTGTAGATGAACCAACTGTGCAGAGCCATTTATATAATCTAAGAATTTATATTGTTAAGTTAAAACAAAATGCATAGCATAAATTATTATGATTTGCTCAATATTAAAAACAATGATACATGATCTAAGGCATAATACAAAACAAACACATGTTTTTGATTAGTTTAACAAGTAACTGTGTCATAAACAAAATAAAGCATACAATTGGTCTACAACATACTGCAATATTTTGCCAGTGTCCTCTTTCAAACCAAGTTCATCAATTTAGTCTAATTGTTTAAAGTGTAATAGGTAGCTGCAAGCAGACGTACAACACAGTATTCTGTACAGCAGGTCATTTTCCAACTAACCTGAATTCACAGAAATTCCCCAGTTTCTAAAACTATTGCTGCATATTTCAGGCCCCTTAATACATCAGTAATTTAACACATTATTTTGCTGTTAATATACTGCATGTTATCTTTAAAGGTGTCAGGGATATTTAAGAGCATGCAGGTGCTTTATTGTTAAAAGGACATGTTTACGTTCATGCGCTACTAATTTTAGTCATGGATAAGAGTTTCTTCCGCCTCTCACTGAGACACAACAGGTGTCTGACCTGAGCAACCACACAGCCTGGTTTCTATGTTCAGCACATCCTTTCAGGAGCTTGCCAGCTTCTTTGACTGCGTCAGCTGGAGCCCTGGTCGTCTGATGGGAGGCTGGCTCACTCACTTTAAAGGGCTTTATTTTTGGGTGCTCCTTAGAGCAGGGCGAGGGGTCAAGGGGCAGACTATCACGACAAATGGAAAACCTCCATCGGTGAAAAACCATTGGGAGGCACGAGCTGTCGCAGCACTTGTTTCTGGGCAGACAGGAGTCCAAGCTGAATAGAATGCTTTCCATTGCTATCACTTTGACTCATGGCAGTTGTTGCTTTAACCACAGTTATATAAGGATGTTGTGTATTTTATGTGGTTGTGCGTGATTGTGCTAGCAGTGCCACTGTCCAAGCAATGCTGTAGTTTGTGTATGTCTATTTTGCTTGGCGGCCCTGGGTAATCCCCCTTTGGTGGAAAGGCAGGGGAGTTCCTCTCTGTCTTCTCTAGTGTAATCCTTCCATGTAACTGATAGGAAGACCTGCATGCGTCTCATAACTCTTAAAGTAGTGGTGAATCATGGAGACCATGAGGACTGTGCATGTCCACGAGTGTGTGTTTGGATTAGTAGAGAGCAGAAGAAATAAACAGAGATGCAGAGCTGGCCTTGCTCAAATCCCACTAAAATGCACAGTAGTGTGAGGAAACATCATGATGCTGTAAACCTGCTTACTGGCATTAAACGTCCCACTGTCTATTTCTACTGCTTTTCTACAGAGGTTAAAGGAATAGAAAAAACTATATACACAATACCTGTTGATTATATAATAGGGGACATTATTGAGATGTTTTGGGAGTTGTAAAATTATTTGTCGGTGTTCGGGATGTGGCCAAACAGTGGATCAAAGTCTGCACATAGCTGTGGGTTTATTGTAACAGGCTAATTGTACTCGGTACAAGCTGGGAACAGTGTGACAAAAACAAAGACACAATGAAAGATGGGAACAGCAGGTGACAGTACAATACCACTCGGTGCCTCTGTCTTGTCAAGTGACACAAAATGTTGCTGGAGTAAGAATGTGTCTAATAAGATGAAATGAAAAAACCTCACTGGTGCAGTGGTAACTATCTTAATTCCTTAAATCAGGTCAGCTGGTCAAACGTCAAGCATGTCTTAAAGACATAAAGGCCTGGATGACCTGCAACTTCTTACTTCTAAACTCTGACAAAACTGAAGTTATTGTGCTTGGGCCTGAAAACCTTAGAAATCTTCTGTCTAATCATATAGTTACTGTAGATGACAGCTCTGGCCTCCAGTCCTACTGTGAGGAACCTTGGAGTCACTTTTGACCAGGATATGTCCTTTAAATCACACATAAACCACATCTCTCGAACTGCCTTTTTTCACCTGCGCAATATCGCCGAAATCAGGAGCATCCTGTCTCAAAGTGATGCTGAAAAACTG